AATCTTGTGTTAAACAAAATCTAATCACACCACACGTCGTTCGATTCTTCTTCATCCAAACCTTCTCCTCAATGTATCGTCCGATTTCCCGTCCAACTCCAAAGTGTCCTCCAAATTTTATGCGTTGAGCGTATCCAAGACTTCATATATTCAAAGACCAAAATTGTTAGTGCTGTTAAATTTCTCCACATCTATCTTCATAGAGTAAATACTCGAACTTTGGACGGTCTTCAGGCCAAAAGTATCCTTCACAACTCTTTCTTTCTTGGCCATCTTTCTCAAAGCACCACCAAACCAATGCGGAACAACTGAAGAATAGATTCAAACTGAAAAAGAGAGATTTTTACCTCCAACTAAAACCCTAACAAGAGCCTCCGAAAGAACTCACCCCTACATGACGGAAGATAAGATCCACAATAGTAAAGATCCCATCTTTGTCACCAACTGAAATCCTAGACGAGCTTCCTAAGCGATCTACTCCTCCACCTGATCCCAAGCGTAGCCCGAAGCTCTGATACCACTTGTTATGCTCTGATACCACTTGTTGTACTTCGAGGAACCAAAACAAACGTATTGAGATCGATAAATCTCAAAGAAACCCATGTTTAAATCTAATTCCATATATGGATCTACATTACAAAACGTTGGTGAGTTTTTTATTAACTGAAACATTTAAATCTTGCAACCCATATTATAATTTTTATTAACTGAAACATTTAAATCTTGCAACCCATATTATAAAGAATCTATCTTTATACACAAAATACGTTTTAGGCTCACTTGCAACCCATATTATAAAGAATCTATCTTTATACACAAAATACGTTTTAGGCTCAAAAATCCGAATTTAAAACTCAATAAAAATTATACAAACAGTGGGTATAGAGCTGGGCGAGATGTTACTCGCCTTTGATGTGCTGCACAACTCCTGAATCTGCAAGAGAACGATCTCCTTCGCTGCACTTTACAAAATTCTGTTGCAAACCCCTTCGAAACTCCTCCAAATTGCCAAAATCCGAGCTAGGGTTTGAGAGGGAGGAAAGAGGGGGGCTTGGGTTTTGTGAGATCTGATGGGTTTTGGGGTTGGTTTCGGGTAAAAGAAAGTATATATGAGCGGTCAAACCCAAAACAAAACCGAACAGACCCGCAAACTAAAAGAAAAACTAGAAATCAGCCCGTCAGTCGACTCATAGGTCGACTGAGCAGACATTTTCCAGATTCGTACATGTTTTGCTTATTTGCCAAAACCAATGCACAAAACTCTATAAGAATACACTCATACATCTCTAATAACTTGTTATCCAGTATATCCATGACCTCAAGCCATTTGTCACAATAGAATTATTTATCACCAATAATTCACATATCTTCATAGCAAAAAGAATACGGGGTTTTACAATGCATCACTTGATCCTGATTGTTGGACTACTCTTTTTGACGATGGGAGGACAAATGTTTGGACCAGTTTACTTTCCCTTTGTTGTTCTGGTTTGCATCTATGGAGCATTCTCATGCACGTACCTGTTTGTGTTTTCTACATTTTACATGTCCTGGGAAGTACATTAGGAGCTCCAAATCGTTGACAGTGGAAATACTAATTTGAAACGTAAATGGAGTCATTTTACTATGTGGGCATGTTTGCAAACCCTATCTCTAAAACCAGGGGATGGGAGGCAGGGGCATAAAAGTTTATTGCAAGCAAGTTATAAGTATGCACCTATAATTAAACTAAACATTTTCAAGGGACTGAAGGTAGCTCTTATTTTTTTTTAGTCTTCTCTCTTGGTGACTGAGGTAGCTCTTATTTTTTTTAATCTAATAGTGTGAATAGTGTGAATTTAATTTATTACATGTATTTTTTTACAGATTGATTCTCAGACCACTCGCTCTCCACCTGATGTTCCTGCTACTACTCCACCGACTTTTACCCATCCTTATCTGAATGCTCAAAGTTCTACATCTGCTGCTCAATGTTCTCCTCAGAATATTTTAACACGAAACCCTGTTGTTAGTCGATTGGGAGGCGTGCTAGGGGCGTCTTAGGGGTCTTTACGCAGGAGGGCTATAGCGAGGATAACATTAGCAAAGCTTTTGCTGATTATTATCGATTAAGTTAGCCGTGACTTGTACTTTTAATTAACATACTTAAAACATTTGTATACTTCGGATATCCTCTTTATGTTTGGGACTTCAGTAATTTATAAGTTGTATTCTGATTCTAGTCAATATTTTGTTTTGGTTTTATGTGTGGGAATATATATGTTGTGAACAGGTATATTATATTTTTTTGTGGGAAATGAATTATATGTAAACGTGGCAGGAGGAGTCATTAAAAGTGGGAAAAAATGAAAAACACAAGCACCAACAGTTGAGACCGTTGGTGCAAGTTTTGGAGCTGTTGGTGCACGAAACTTGCACCAACGGTTTGAACCGTTGGTGTTTTGTTGTGCACCAATGGATGGAACCCTTTGTGGAAGACAACAACGGTTGCAACCGTTGGTGTTGCCACTTGCATCAACAGTTGTAACCGTTGGTGCTGCCACTTGCACCAATGGTTGCAACTGTTGGTGCTGAGTCTTGCACCAATGGTTCCATCCGTTGGTGCCATGTTTTTATAATTTTAATATTTTTTAAAATATTTAATTTTATATTTTTTGTACTAGCGAATTGAACCGTTGGTGCAGAGTTTTCACCCGTTGGGGCTGTTTCAGCCCCAACGCTACTTGCACCAACGGGTTAATTTTCTGCCCCAGCGGTCATAACCATTGGGGACTACACCTGCACCAACGGTTATAACAGTTAGTACATGTCTCCTTTGTACTAGTGTTAGTAACCATAAAAATATTAGTTAATGAGCTTACTAATTATTATAACTTGATGTTGGTGCTGCCACTTGCACCAATGGTTGCAACTGTTGGTGCTGAGTCTTGCACCAATGGTTCCATCCGTTGGTGCCATGTTTTTATAATTTTAATATTTTTTAAAATATTTAATTTTATATTTTTTGTACTAGCGAATTGAACCGTTGGTGCAGAGTTTTCACCCGTTGGGGCTGTTTCAGCCCCAACGCTACTTGCACCAACGGGTTAATTTTCTGCCCCAGCGGTCATAACCATTGGGGACTACACCTGCACCAACGGTTATAACAGTTAGTACATGTCTCCTTTGTACTAGTGTTAGTAACCATAAAAATATTAGTTAATGAGCTTACTAATTATTATAACTTGATGCTGACCATCTAGTCTTGATTTAGACATGGAAGCATAATTAGATGCGAAGCATATGCACCAACAAACTATTTTGTAAAGAAATTAAAACGAGACCATTTTGGAAGTTAGATGGTGATATCCATGAAGGGTTGGTGACATGACCATGTCATTACCATTTGTTTAAGCTTTATTTCTAATAGGACGCCTTTATATGATTTTCTTTTTCCAACATAGCGATTCCTTGAAAATGGAAGAGTACCTTCCTTAGTCCAAAAACCAATTATGCTTTGGATTCAACTCTTTTACCAATCCTATATTAATAAAAAAATTACCATACTCGATAGTTACTTAGAGTTAATTTGGTATTGCTTTTTTTTTTGGTGCTTCTATTTATTTTTGTAATAAGTAAACAATAATAGTCTTTGTTGAAATATTGTTGGCATTTTAAATAAAACTGCCTCTACTTTAAAAGGCTGCTTTTAGAAGGCTGCTTTTAGAAGCAATCTGATGATGCTTTTAAGAGTAGCTTCTGTTTTTTCAGTTTATATATAATATATACCTTTTATCTTGGTATATATACCTTTTATCTTTTACCAATGTTCGCTAAGCACAGTTCTATCAAACACGTTACTTGTTATGCGGTTTTTTTTCATATTTGATTACTAAACAGTTATTTTCAACAGCTTACATAAGTTGCTTTTTTATTAATTACTTTTATAAGCAACTTGCTATAATCTTTAGTAATACTACATTCGCCCTTAGTCATGTAAATTTTTAATTATTCTATTCAATTTTCTTGTCTTCTTTCTTTTCATATGCATATACTATATCCAAAATGAATTTGAAATCTTTCAGCATAATAATTCTAATCATTCACATGTATCAACTTAATGTATTTTTTAATAAAAAATAGTCTATTTCTAGAAATGAAAAGCCACATTTTAACCAAAAACCATTAAATTAATACACATTCTTCTATAATAATGGAAATTTCGGATATCATTTAATATTTCTTAACATATATTCAAAGGGTACACTATAGAAAAACATAAAAAATAGGGGTAATTGCATACTAGCAACTTAAATCATCTATAATTGCCAAGACACCTCCATATCTCAATATTTACCAAAACCTTCTCCAAATCATCAATTTCATTGCCAATTCATCTTTGTGGTTGACAATGAGGGGGGAATGAATGATATTCATGTTATGCCTCCACTCTTTTTAACACTAACATTTAAAGTCTCATCCACCCAGTTTATAGTGGGTTTACCAACCCGTAACCCACAACGTAGTAAAATCTTCTTCTTTAAGAATAAAATTCCTACGAACCCAACAAGAGATGTTATCCCTTTTAGAGCGAGGGAAAAATAAGGGAAATAAGGTTTTTTAGTTGTTTTGGGAGGAGGGGAGAAGTATACCTACGGGCATTGGAGTAATTCCACACATTGGGTTAAGGCTTAACCCAACTGCAGTTAGAGAATTTAGTAGAAAATTTAACAGAAAGATGAATTGGCAATGAAATTGATGATTTAGGGAAGATTTTGACAAATGCCGAGATTTGGTGGGCCTTTTGGCAATTAAAAATGTTTTAAGGAGCTAATATGCAATTACCCGAAAATAACAACCACTAACTTGTGATTACCTAAAAGTATAAAGGCAAGGGTCATCCCAATAATATTCAAAGAATTTTCAGTAGAGCCAGCCAATACAGACCAACGACCAAGAGCCACTTGCAATAAGAGCCACTTGCAATGCTACTTGCAATAAGAGCCACTTGCAATGCTACTCATCATCCCGTCTTCGTACTCATCAGCGCTTGTTTCCCGCGGTTTGTTTGGTTTTCTATATGGCCACTCATAAGAATTGAGCATTTATTAGCTAAGTAAAATACCATTCCAAATTGAGGATGAACTTCCTGTGTTGTGGGAAATTCGAAGATTGGTATGATTTCTGTAACTCCTCTTAATTTTTGTTTTGATTTTCCAAAAGTTTTTATTGACGTGTGGTTGTGGTTTGTATTAGGAAAAGAGAGAGGAGGAGGAAGAGAGAGAGTATTTGGAGGCTGTTCTCACTCAAAGAGCTCAAATCAGCAACAAACAACTTCAATTACGATAATAAGTTGGGAGAAGGCGGATTTGGGAGTGTTTATTGGGGGCAACTCTGGGATGGATCTCAGGTATTTTCCAATTTAATCGTTGAATTGTTATTGAGGATGATTTCAAGTGGGAATTGTGCATGCAATGTATATTTTATTTCATTATTTCATCTTTTGCTTTGTGCATCTACTTGTGATTTTGTATGCGTTAAGAATTTAATTGGCTATACAAGAGATGGTTCAAGTAATTATACAAAATTTTCTTTTCGCAAAGAGAAGAACTAGGAAAAAACAGTTAGTTGAACCGGCAGCAGAACTTGTTTAAGCTGTCAGGTTTATGCATATTCTTTTGAGGAAAAGGTCTATGTATATTCTCGTGACATTGAACTGAAATATGGCATTACATTAACTTGCCACACAGTAACTTAATGTATCTTACAATTTATGATGACATATTTTTCCCAATATTTAACAACAATACTAACTTTAGTACATTTACAGATTGCTGTCAAGAGGTTGAAGGAATGGAGCAACAAAGCTGAGTTACAATTTTCTGCCGAGGTCGAGATATTGGCTAGAGTGAGACATAAAAATCTTCTAGGTTTACGTGGATATTGCACTGAAGGCCAAGAACGCCTCATAGTCTACGGTTTCATGCCCAATTTGAGCTTGTTATCGCATCTCCATGGACAACATGCATCCAAACGCCTTCTTGACTGGGAAAAGAGGATTAATATCGCAATTGGTTCAGCTGAGGGTATTGCGTAAGTCCAATACTCAAAATCCAATGACCCTCTTCTGTTCCCCTTTCTATAAATACTTGTTAGGATTTTGTCTTGAACCCTATTCAGATTTCTATTTAAAGTGAGTGTTTGGTGAAACCTAAAAGTTAGTTTCATCTGTAAATACCTGAGGCATCAAATTTGGTTCTATTGGGAATTGTTTGAAGGCTAAATTTCAAAGAAAAGTTTGCTTACTTTGATATCTCTGTGTACAGAGAGAACTCAAGAGGCCTTGGTCTCTATTATCTCTGTGTACGGAGAGAAATCAAGATCCATCAATTTCCAAGTATTTCCTCTCTCTGCTCTATGTTTTCAGAATAATAAAAAGGACCATCTGTTTTTGCTCAAGGATACGGTACCTGCTTCAAAAATCATTTAATCTGTGTGTTTGCGATTGTTATCGATCTGTACATTGATTTTTTTATCTGTCTGTTTGTGCTTTCTGCAATAGTATTAGCTTCATTGTTTTTCTTATGAAACAGTTATCTACACCACCATGCAACACCTCATATCATACACAGAGATATCAAAGTAAGCAATGTCCTTCTAGATTCACAGTTTCAGGCAAGAGTTGCTGATTTCGGGTTCGCAAAGCTGATCCCCGATGGTGCAACTCACGTGACCACAAGAGTAAAAGGAACACTTGGATATCTAGCACCTGAATATGCCATGTTTGGCAAAGCCTCAGAAAGCTGTGATGTTTACAGTTTTGGCATACTCCTTCTCGAGCTCGCCAGTGGTAAGAAACCCATAGAGAAGCTGAGATCAAAGGTTAAGAGATCAATATCAGATTGGGCACTTCCATTAGCTAAGGAGAAGAAGTTTAAAGAAATGGCAGATAACAAATTAAATGGGAGTTATGTGGAGGATGAATTGAGGAGGATGGTGATTATAGGGCTTATATGTGCACAGAGTAGACCTGAGAAGAGACCAACGATGCTCGAGATTGTATCTCTACTGAAAGGAGAGTCCAACGAGAAGATGTCCGAGTTGGAGAATGATGAGATGTTCTGGCAAGAAAATACTGAAGAGCAGAATACTGAAGGGAATTTAAAAGAGGAAGTTGATGCAGCCATCAAAGAAGTAGAAGCAAGAAAATGCTAGCTACACCATATAATACCAAAAATCCATGTTAATTGTGAATAACATTAGATGAGCACAAATTTGTATTTTTGGCGTTTACAAACTGTTATTGAGATTATTTTGGTCTTTGTTACTGTGGGAGTTTGCAGCTTCTTGTTAACCAGTATTAAAATATGTAAGGTTCAAGGATGACGCATCGATCCTTCGGTATCTGATGGCTTTAATATGGAGTGAAAAGATTTCCCCGAATGGAAAACCATCAACATTATTTGTTTGAAAACGAAAACATTAATGTACCTCAAGAGAAAGTGTATATCATTCATACTCTATTTAACTCCCTAAAGGCTAAATAGCACTTAAATACATTATAATGTCACTCCTTTAGCACTTATACACTCTGTATTGTATTACATAGCAACTAACCTGAATTGGTCGAAATTGACACGTTAATACCCTCTGTTCAAACTTTCATTTTCCAAAATTGCCCTTCAAATTTTATTAAATTCACTAAATTACCTACCCAACTTCTATCATACTCCCTTTAAAAGTGAGAGTTGAGGAAAAACTTGTTGGGTCTCATATTGATGAACCCACTATCTAATCTAGTTTTGATGATTTACAAACAATTGTAAGCTTGTTTTCTAGTATTTGTGTTTACTAGATATACAATGAGCCTTAACGAGGATATCATGAAGGTTAGAGGATATCAGAATGAAGTCTTCACACATTCAAGTCAAAGACCATCCATCGTCTCATTCCCGCACCGAGATCAAGCATCAAAGAAGATCTTTTAGCTTGGAACATTAGTCTAGGTTTTACTTTATGTGTTATGCTTAAAAGCTCAATTCTTATACACACACATTATTTCTCGTTTTATCATATTATGAATTGTTTTGAGAAAATAACGTATATTTGGATTATTGACTTACTGAGTTAATTTTACATCTTTTCTAAGTCCATTAATCCATTCAAAAGGATTCCAAAACTAGTTTGAAATTATTTTGTCAAAATCAAGTGTTTAAACAAACTTGTATTCTTGAGATTTTGCAAAATGATGAGTTTTCACAAAGGAGAAATGATATTTAAAAACGTTTTTTTTCTAACATAAGTGTTTTCATCAGAATAAACATTTTTCCAAGTTTCATAAATTTTAGAATTTATTTACTATCTTTAAACACACATTGAAAATCAAGTTTACTGTTCAAATATGTGTTGTGCACGTTTTTTGGTCGACCGATTGTTCAAACCAGTCGACCGATAAAACTGCTCTGCGTTTTCAATCTTGTTTCTGCTCAATCGACCAATCTTTATCAATCGACCGAATAGTATTATCAGTCGACTAACTATTTGAATCAGTCGACCAATTGTTTCATGACTGTAGCCAATGGTCATCTTAACAGTCGGCCAATTCATTCATCAGTCGACCGATTTGACTGTAATGGCTAGTTTTCTATTTTCTTCATTTGAGAGGTTATAAATACCCCTCAAAATATTTTTGTTTACATAAGGTTTTATACAAGTGTTTGAGTCGAAAATCTTTTTTACTGCGGAATCCGTTATAATTGTTTATCAATTACAAATTCAACAAGAAGGAGTCTTTTTATAAGACTTTTTTTACATGAATGAAAATAAATGAAGACTACCTAGAAACACACGCAGGATCATTTATTGGTCGCTATTTGCGTAGGATCTTTACCTGTACCGGGGACGCTTTGATCTTTGGACCGCCAAAAAATCAGATCTGGTTGATCTTGAAGATGGCTTATTGTTCCCGATCCCTTATAGAAACAAGAATGAAAGTAAATATTGTTAGACCCTAGAGGGAGGGGTGATTAGGGTCTTATGCTAATCTAATCCGATTTTATACCAATTAAAAACTAGTTAATAAGTTATTCTAGCAAGTATGAAATACAACAAGATATATAAGCTAGGATAAGCAATAAGAACAACAAGATATATCCTAACAAAGAGATATAGGCAATGTATGTGCAAGGATATAAAACTAACACAAGGGTAAACAATATGAACTAGATAGTGGATAAAATAAATGAGCAATGCACAATTGGCGATATAAGATAAATGCAAAAGTAAATGCGCCAATGACAAACTTAAACACACTCAAATGATCACAGAGTTCGAACCTTCCGTCCTACGTCTCCGCTCTCCACTCCCGGGGAGAAATACACTATCACAACCCGGTTTGAAAGCCGGAACTTCTACACACTCTGTTTACAAGTTCATCGAAAACTCTCACACAACAAACACTATGCAATCACACTCTACACCCACGCAAGTATTGGACCTAGCCGTGTCTCCCTCAAGTGCTCGGTTACAACCTCTCTCTAGGCTCGTCAACCTGGACCTAGCCGTGTCTCCCTCAAGTGCTCGGTTACAACCTCTCTCTAGGCTCGTCAACCGACGCCACTACTCTTGGAACGATCCCCGACTCTCACCACACACTCCTCTCGGTGTACAAGTGTATTACAATGTGATATCACAATTAGGCTCAATACAATAATTGTTTGTTCTCTACTATGGATGAGAACACAATGAAAGCTCACACTCAATGTTACAACTCTCACAACCCCAAGTATATTATGAATGCAAATACAATAAGCTCAAGTGGGTGTGTGTAACAATGAGTAAAATCAAATATAAACTCAATATAAAAACTAGCTTTAATAGAAATGATAACCAACAAATAATTATAAATAAAAGCTAGAGTTGAGTTTAGGAAAACTTCTCTATAAACACAAAGAGAGGATGATGAAATGTTGAAGATGAACTCTTCAATAGTTGATGTAAACTCCTCTTTGTAACAGCAAACCCAAAACAAACTTAAACCAAAACTAAACAAGCTTAAACCCTTGTTTAAAAACTTCTTTTTAAAAACTTCTTAGCTACTTGAAAGAGAATAGCAATGGGGTATTTATACCCACTCAAAATCTCAGCCAAAAACCCCAAACCAAATGACGAGCCAATAAAAACAGTTCTGAGTTCTGAACTCTTGGCGGTCGAGGTTGGCGGTCGACCGCGAACAGATACTCAGGAAAAACAGGTTTGAAACAGATTTTTGAGACTTTTGGAAAATTGTTAAAAATAACAAATGAAGTCCAAAAATAATAAAACTTTGGGAAATATATATAAGCATGTAAATGAACATGTTACAAAAAGAATTTTCCAAACTGCATTTCCCATTTGTGAAAAATCATCATTTTGCAAACATAGTCCAAAACACGAAATGTAAACATGTGAATTTTGACATTTAAGCTAAACCATGTTTTGAAACTTTGCACAATGATTATATAGACTTAATAAATTATGTATATGATTATTGTTAAGTCCAAAAACTAAGAAAAGAATATTTTCACAAAATTGCATATTCTATGCAATATATACTAAAACACAATAATAAATATGAAACATGTGATTTCATATTTATAAACATGAAAACTCAAAAACACATGTATGTATATATATATATAACTATATATATGCATAGAGACCAAAACTTATGTATATATATATGACTATATATATATACAAGGAAACCAATAAAATGTGTGTGTATATGATATTGAGCTTAGAGTATCTAACACACATAATATAAAACCTAAACTAGATTACCCAAGCTATGATCTTGATCTTCAATAAGCTCGACTTGGTACTCATGCGGATGAAGCTTGAACTTGATCTTTAACTTTGAATTGCAAGGCTTCACTCCACTATTCAAATTTCTTTTATTTTATTTACTACAAATTTTCCACCAAACAAAAGATGGCAACTCTGCTGGGGACGAGCTTCTCTAACGAAGAAGTGGTGGTGCAATCCGACGTTCATCTCATTGGAACAACCATCGAAACTTTTATTGTTGAGTTTGATCAAGTCAAGTATGAGGAAGTTCTTTCCTTTAGATCCCTTAGCCCCAAGGCTATACGTAAGATCCACAAAGTCTCCAAAGAGACAAAAGCTCCAACTGCTCTAATTGCAGCCGAATCACCCAAGGAAGATCTCTCCTTTGGGTTAGATTGCTCGGACAGCCCCTCCTCCGATGGAGTGGGCTCAGCTTCAGCCAAACCCGCACCAAGACGATGGGTATCGGGTCGCAAGAGGCCAATTAAGGCGACAAACTTGATCAACACAGATGGTGACGTTGCTACAAAAGCCTTAAAACAAGCTAAGAAGAACGCCGCTCGACGGAGGAGGAGATCCTTACGATGAACACATCTCCGAGAATGCCAATCCTCAAGTCAACACGAGCTTCGTGTTTGTGAGCCTAAACACGACCATGTGCCCTGCGTTTCTGCTTCAGAATGCACGCCCTGCGTCTATGAGCCCAAACATAGGCTCAGTGTGAATAAGACTGAACGCAACCCTTAGTGGCGTATTGTACAATCAAAATGCAGCCTTCAGGGGTGCGTTCTATTAACTGAACGCAACTCTCAGGCATGCATTTTAGAACCAAAAAACAGATTTCAAGACTGTGTTCTACTAGCAAAATGCAGATCTCAGTACTACGTTTCACCAGCAAAACCTGAACCTCAGGCATGCATTCGGGTAACGAAATTCAATACAGAACCTGATGTATACGATGGAGCTTCGGGGTGCTGCCCCAAATCTCATTAGGGGGTCGTCCACTCCTCCCGGACCCCCCGGCCAGGGGCGCGCCGCCCCCTGGACCCCCGGCTCGCTGACCGATCAGCGAGACCCCCGAATACTCTGCGTAGCACGATTAGATCGAGGGGAGGATATAAGAAGTCTTTGGATTCAAGGCATCTCAACCATATCCATGCTTACCAGGAGCCAGTCCCGTCCAATCATAGACTGGGGGTTCCAGTTCAAACCTCACGGTCAGTGAGTAATTCTTCTCGAGTCTTTGCAACAGATTTGAGAGTGTTCATATCAGGAGAAAGACCAATGCAACAAATCATTCGTTCATTCTAATGTAAACGATTGATTCCTACGGTCCTCTCGGGATGTCACTGTTGCTCATATGCAGCCAAACCGTTGGTGTTCGACTAATTAACGCATGTTGCCTTGCCCAACCAACGACGACGTTTGCACAAGAAGAAGTCTCCAGAGACCGAATATCCTGGGGTCACTATCAATGCGATCGGTAGAGGGAAAGCCCCAGGTCCTAGTTCCGATGACTCTGAGACAAGTCGTTCACCGACCGTCAGAGAAATCACTAACGAGTTTGAAGGAATCTACCAACGCACTCGGACGCGAACATG